AGGGCGGAGACAAACAGCAGTAGGGCGATGCAGGCCGATAAGGATAGCAACCGCACCACGAAAAGGAAGGAGAAGCTGCTGTGGCGTGTTGTACCGTGCATGTGGCGTTTTAGAGACACGGAGTGTGATTTTGCGGGCTCGGGAGATAGCTGGTTGCCGTTGAGAAGGAGGATTTCTATTTTGGGAAGGCTATAGAGATTCTCCGGAACTCGGCCGGTCAAGTTGTTGGAGCTCAAGTCGAGCATGACCAGGGACTTGACGGCGCAGAGGGATTCTGGTATGAGCCCAGATATACGGTTCTTACTGGCATTAATAGCCAGCAGAGCTAATTCATCGTCACGTTTCGGGAAAAGAGTTTCATCTAGCGATCCGGTGAGGTTATTGCTGCCGGAAAGAAATACATACCCGGTTTTATCTGCATACGCGAATGGGAGCACGGGGAGGGGCCCACTGAAGTTATTCTGACTAAAGTCGTGAACGGTTAAAGAATGTGCCGTGTTGTTGTTAAAGGGCGGTGAGTATTCGGACAGGATTTTATGTTGGAAGAAGGATAAGTAAGAAAAGGATGGATCAAAAGGTGGGAAGGGATTTCTTGCAGCAGATGATAATTTATGGCGGCACTCGACGGTTGTGAAATTCGGGATCGGTCCTGATAGCATGTTTCGACTGACATCAAGTGTTCTCATGCAAGAAATTGGTAGATCTTCGTCCAATTTTCCGGTCAGCTTATTCGAGCTTATGTTCAGATACAGAAGATGAACGCATTTATTAAACGTACTGAAGATCTCGCCGGTAAAATCGTTACGAGCAAAGTTTACCATCTTTAGCATCTTGCAGTCGCCGAATTCACTCGGAAATTTGCCATTAAAGTTACCACCGGGTGCCCAAACCAGTTTTAAATTCGCGAGTTTTGTGATCTCGTCGGGAAAAGAGCCTTCAAATGAATTACTGTCGCTAAACGACCTGCGGGACATTTTACCATGTGTACTATTAAAGCGAGTCGAGAGGATGAGAACCGACAAACTTGTACAGTTTCCAAGATTCGCGGGGAGGGGACCACCAAGGGAATTTCTAGAAACGTCTAGAACTTCAAGATTCCGTAGCTTTCCAAGTTCATCCGGTATAACACCGCTTAACTCGTTAGAATACAACAAAAGCGTCCTTAGATTGCTGCAATCTCCCAAAGCATGCGGGATTTCACCTTTTAGGAAGTTAGCCGATAAATCCAAATGCTCGAGATCCCCACAAAAACTGCTCGGCACACGACCGATCAACCGGTTAAACGACAAGTTCACAACTCGTAACTTCCTAAAACGGCTAACGAACTCAGGGATGACGTCGTTTATCCTGTTTCTTGCTAAATTCAAAATCTGCAAACCCGTACAGCTCGAAAGTGAACGGGGAAACTTCCCATAAATATCATTAAATGCCAAATTAAGAACCTTTAGTTTCTTCAAACCGGCAAACTCGTAACTCGAAAAATCTCCGGTGAACTTATTCCCTTCCAGATCAAGAACTTCGAGATTCTCCAATCCCCAAACCTCGAATGGAATCTCGCCTTCAAGTTCGTTAAACGGAAGAGATAAGACTTTAAGTTGGGTAAGATTCGCCACGACCGCCGAGAGGCTTCCGGACAATTTTCCATTCACTCCCGAGCAATTCCTCGATATCCCAAAGCCGTGCAACGAAAGCTCGGATTTGGACGAGCAAGAAGGAGACAGAGAAATGTTACCTCCCATTTCGAGCCGCGAAACTCTGAGATTCGTATCGCACGACACACCGCGCCACGTGCAATGGTTCCCATCGGTCCAGCTGTCGAGCATCCCACGAGGACCGGAGAGTGATTTCTTGAGCTCCAAGAGAGTCGTTCTCTCGTCCGGAAACTGCCCGTGGGCCGACGAGAGAATGCAGAGGAATAGAATGAAACAGAGCAACTCCATTGGTGAAGAATGTGAAGGCACCACCTAACAACACTCTTTGCTTTTCAGACAAAAGCTTTTAATATAACATCAAAGAACAAAGATTGTGTGTTTTCTTGTTTAAGCAGATTGGTGTGTTAATTTGCTCTCCTATGAAAGGCTTTAGCAAACACCAATTTCCTTTATAAAGAGTGGGAGCAGAGTGGGGCCCGCAGGTGAAAAGGTTTTCGGGTTCTTTTTAGGTGGGCCCTACCTTGTAGAATGGAACAGGTACGAGAAGTCATTCCCATCTGTCGGTCCACGTGGACAGACAGAGATACGTGACACGTGGATAACGGCCGGAAAGGCAACAGGTTGTTTTTAGTTTTATAGCTTCTGGGAGCACAAAACGACATCGTTTGCCTTAATTGTCATTATTATATAAATATCAAGAAACAGAAAATTTATTACTTTAAATTATAGAGAATTACGTAATTTCTGGCTTTATGTAATTTAAACTTTATTATATATATTTCCACTGTAATTTTTCTTTTCTTTTTTGAGATTTTCTAAAATAATTTAATACATCTGTAATCACACACCAGTTATTCCCTTAATTTTAAACTTTATTATAGGCAGTACATTTTTTTCCCAAGATTATATTAATATTTTCACAATTCAGTTTTATCAATTTGAAATTTTTTTAAATATTCACATGATTATTTCACTTTTTTAAAAAAAAAAGTGGTCATACCGGACTAGTCACGGGTACGCGGTATTACTGGTCAGACCGATAATATTGATGGTATTACCAGACTAGCAAATATAATGATAATATATATTTATATAGAAAAATGTCTAATACCAAATGTAAAAAAGTAAAAAAAAAAAAATGACCATCATTAAATTTAACTTACCAATGAGATAAAAATAAAACATTCTAACTACCAATTTACATTTTATGTTTTTAAATTAATAATTTTTTTTTTTATGACGGGTATTTTCCAGTATTTACTGTATGGCCCAAGTACAAACCGGTATAACCGTAAATCCAGTATTATATGTAATTTATCGTACCAATGGTCTGTATCCGATATTACCGGCCGGTAGAAAACACTATCTAGAATAATCACCATTTTTTTCACCTTTGGACTAGTTGGTGATATGCCAGTTGTAATTATACTGACCCAAACATCACATTTTTTCTCACACTACATTTTAAGTGCTACAGTCATCACATTTTTTCTCACACTACATTTAAGTGCTACAGTCATGAAACTCGCACAAGAAAAATGTGTGAGGACTTGTTATTATATCGACCTCTATACATGAAATTCTTGCTCCTAAGTGGTGTTTTTGCCCTTTGTTTTCTTGTATGTAAGCTTATAAATGGTCACTGGATTCTAAAGGAATCTGCAGTTTCTACAGCTAATATAGAACGAGATAGAAGACAAAACACAAGGAATGAACTCGAAAAGGTTCATATTTTCAACATACATAGGCCAAAATTGGTAGAAATTATAGTTTTACATGTTTACTTTACCTTTCATGAACTGCATTACATGTTCCGAATACGAACAAGCATCGTCAGAGGGTGTATCACATTAAGTTCTTCGTTATCAGTATATAAAACCGAGCGCGAGTAAACTACATAAGATCGCGAATAAAGTTGGAATTAATGGTCCATGGTTAATATGACTTCGTTATCAGTATATAAAACCGGGCGTGAGTAAACTACATAAGATCGTGAATAAAGTTGAAATTAATGGCCCATGGTTAATATGACTCGAATAGTTACCGCGTAAAGAAATTTAATGTAAAACTGTACAACTCAATTTTCTAATCATCATGCGACAAATTCTGCACCTAACTATCAAAAACTAATGATCAGATCAGGTAAAGGTGGAATCGGACGAGCAACCCGTTCAAAAATTATCACGAAGTGCTCTGTAAAGAGAAAGAATAAGAAAGAAGAAAGAAGAAAGGAAAGAGCACCCAGCTGAATTCTTCAATTGATTGAAGTAATGGCATTGCATTTACAATCGAACCCTTTTTGCTCGTTTTTGTGTTACTTATGAAAAGTTTGAGTTTCGGTGAAGGTCTCAAGGCCAATATAATCGAAGCTCCTAACAGCAGCAGCATGAGCAAGACCAGCACGAACAACATGAACACGAAAAGCAAGACCACTTGCTTCTTGGCGTTGTCTTGCCTGAGCTTTTAGAAGTCGTGTCTGACAAACTGTATGTATTTTTTTTTAAGGAAAATATATTACGTAAAAAATACTAGCAAAGTAAGCATTAAAAACAAAAACAGCTACTTGTCCAAGCAACATGAATGTAGAGAGAGAGAGAGAGAGAGAGAGAGAGAGAGAGAGAGAGAGAGAGAGAGAGAGAGAGAGAGAGAGAGAGTCATACGTGGCTGGAGAATCACAAGGGGATGTTTTTCGTTTCCGGCAGTAGCAGCATGCCCATGTACAGTTTAAGCATCGGCACTTAAAGCAAGACCATGATGAACAACTACAACACGACCAGGAAGAGCAGTTGCAGCAAGACCATGATGAGCACTTAAAGCACGACCCTGACGAGCAATTACAGCAGGACCAAGATGAACAGTTGCAGCAAGACCATGCTGAACACTTCAAGCACGACCAAGACGAACAGTTGCAGCAAGACCATGATGAGCACTTAAAGCACGACCAAGACGAACAGTTGCAGCAAGACCATGATGATGAGCACTTAAAGCACGAGCACGACGAGCAATTACAGCAGGACCAGGACAAACAGTTGCAGCAAGACCGTGATGAGCACTTAAAGCACGAGCACGATGAGCAATTACAACACGACGACCAGAAAGAACATTTACAACAGCAGCTAGAGAAACTCGGGCACTTAAAACGGCTGCTCGACCACTTAAAGCAGCTAAAGAACCATTTGAATGAGGAACTCAAGCATTTGCAGCCACGGCACCGGCACATCCCGCACGTTGAAGATTTATTTTTTCTGGAGACACAGGCAAAATAAAAAAATAATATAAATGATTTATAGTTCACAAGATTATAAATACATCAAATCGAACCAAGCAAAGGTCCTAAGTGAAAACTATGATACATTCAGAGAAAGTGATTGCCAAATAGTTATGTCTCATCTATCCAATTAATTTAAGTTAGAACCATTTGATGTCAATAGATAGAATGACACTCACTTTGGTTTGATGAAATTTTTAACTCGAACTTCACTTTTCTCAGGGAATTGAGGTGGACCACGCGAACCTGCTCTGGGCTGCTCTCTTTTCACCCTGTCAACTTCAACTCTCACTAAACCCGTGGGCCCATTCTTTTTAGGTTCCTCCACAACCCGTACCCCTTCAATCTTTACACCCTCATCAATAGTCTTCTCTATGTCTATATAAGGTTCTATACCTTTAGAATCCAGAGAATTCAAACCGGGCCCAACATTTTCACCCGGCCTTTTCGTGGATTGCAACAATTCCCCCTGTTCAGTCGATTCAGGGTCCACCCTGCAGACATGATCCTTCGAGAAACTACTTTCTCCTATACGAATGCTAAACAATGAGTCGTTTGAGGCAGCACTCCACTCAGTGGGAGTCGAGGACTTACTAAATACTGAAGGAGGGATCCTTTCCGGATCGAAATCAACGGCCCTCTGCATGACCTGAATCGGAGGGGATTGGATGGGCGAAACCGAAACCTTTGTCGAGATCAGGGACTCATACGTGGTGTCTGAGAATTGGGAGGCAGACCCCTGTGAACCCTCATTCGAGAGGTCGATCTCGTCATTTTCGTAAAATGGCTTAGTGGGCCCAGCCGGGCGGGGCGGCTTGTCATGGGCCCCGCCGAGCTTAGGGAGTAGCTGAGGGTTGACTTGGAAGAAGTCGTCGGAGGACGATAAGGATGATGGTGACAGGGTGTCGGAAGAATCTTGATTTGTGGGCCCGAGTACGAACTTCACGTGTTTTGGTTTGGACTCGAAAGGTTTGTGATTGGAAGGAGTACCGTGTGCGTCTCCATAGTCCATAATTGAAAAATTGCGGGTGCAAGCATCTCTGGAACATAGCATTTAGACAGAGATTTCGGAGGAAAATTGTATCAATAAAATTATTGTAGTGAAATAAATAGAGAACATTTGGATTACTTGTGTTGATTAATTACAGTCAATTGACAATTGTTCCTAGAAGTGGAAATCGACATGAAAAGGCGATGAATATACAAAAGGTTGCATCATGTAGCTTAGGAAATGTGTCGAATTAAATCTCAATTCAGGTCCTTGTAATAAAGGAAATATTGTATTGATGCAAGAATTTGTTGTTCTCATTACATATGGGAGGACTTATGAATTACTGAACTACAAACTGACATGTTTGTTTGCCCCAATAAGATGCATAAGCAAACTACATTTAAAACAACTTATTACTGTAGAAAAATTCGCCACTTTCGGGATGACATCTTCATAGTAAAGTTTTCTGCTGCAATTCATGGCATGTTTTCGGATATGTTTCTTAATTTCTAGCACAATATCATAATCAAATACGTCTTTTGCTAATTGCAGGGGTAAACAGAAATGCCAGCAGACAATCACTGCTTAAAATTGCAATTAACAGGCATACAAAAGCAGGACATTAAAACAGTAGAATAAACTCACCTCAATCAAATTTTCCGCATAATATTATCAAATCGCTACGACGAAACAAGCCGCCGCCCAATAAATCGTCTTGCCTGGGCAGCTCCTGCAAACACCGGCAACCAGCCTACCGATTCAACATAGCCATATAAAAAGAAAGATCAAATGACCCTGGAAGAGAAGAAAACCAGAAAACCTGAAAAAAAATAAAAAATAAAAGAAAGAGAGAGGCGATTGATGGAAAAATAGCTCGCAAAACTACATTTTTAGAAGAAAAATCTCAAGTAAAAAATGGAAAAATTCAATGAACCCAAATAGGAAACATAATCTAAGCAATGTTTACCAGAAATGTAAGAACATATGATTTCACGAGCTGCTAAAAATGTCGTGATTACCTTTCCATTTCTGGGTTTTTCTCGATTTTTATTTTTTTCTGGGGATAATATCCTCCGCCTTTTTCCTACGTTTCTTGCCGGCAAAAGAAGAAAACAAAAAAAGGAATGGGAATGGCGACCGGAAAACCCACCTGAGTAGAAAAGAAATTGAATTAGGGTTTTCGGAGAGAAGGGAATTTGGGGGTAAATTCATCGATGGAGTGGATAAAAATGGAAGGGGGGACGAGGCTTTCGGTGGAGAAAACCTGTGGACTGTTTTAATGGCGCCACAATTTTCCCAACTGTTTATACAGCTGGGTTTTGTGGATTTTGATTTTTGAACTTGTCTAGTGGTTCATTAGCAAATTATGAAAGTCTTGGATTCTGGACACTGAATAATAGCGCTGCAGATGAATATAGCGGCTCGCGAGCGCTCGAGTCAAAGCTCGACTCGAGCTCGAGTTTTACCGAATTCGATCGAGCTCGAGCCCATATTTTGTCTCGTCGAGCGGTCCATCGATCGACTCGAGATACAGGTTAAATTACTAAAATACCTCTTAAATAGATGTTAGCATATGTCCTTAATGATAAATTTACCTTTCCACCTAATAATTTTCGAGCCGAGCTCGAACATTTTTTGATTTCGAGTTGAGTTCGAGCAGCTAAAAAAACTCAGGGCATGATTGTTTATAAAATATTTCATCTAAAAATATTTCATTTTGGTTAACTATGGTCAAAGTTGAAAAAGTAGTGTGGTTAATTATTAGTGGAATTTAAAAAATATATCAAAATAATATTTAAAATAAAATGATTAAAATTGATTTGATAAAAAGTAGGAGATAAATGATTGGAAATGATTGGTAGTTAAAATTATGTGAGTAGATGAATAGTGAATTAAAATTGATATGATGTGTAAGAATGATTGGTTTGTATTATTTAATTATATGAAAAATATTAAAGATAGTGGGGTTGAGTTTAAGTTGAATTAGATTTTGAGGTGAAATATTTTGTAAACAATCACCCCCTCAATTCTACTTGATAAACCAATGCTCGACTCGGCTCGGCTCGTTTGTAGCCCTTGAGACTGAAAACACCACATAGCTAAATCGCATAATGAAATCTGAAAGCGTGCTTCTCTCTCATCTCTGTCTCTCTCCACTCAAAACACATGCCAAAGCGGAGTGGAACTCTGAGAATGATGAGAATGATATGCTGAAAATAAGGAAAAAAAAAAACATCTGCAAACAAATCCACGAACTCTTCAAGACAGACAAAACCGAGGTATGATCCTTTATTTATGCGTTCCTAGTATGTGTTGAGAGCTCGCATGAATAAAGTTTGGGAAAAAATGGAGGTTGTTTTTGTGTTTCTCGTTCGATTAGGTTTTGCCCTTTTTTAGTGGTCTTGCTGCATCTGTGCATAATTTGATAATCAACCTGATATTAATGTTTTCGGTACTGTCCAATCCCCAAAAGATCTCTCCATTTATGTTCGTAACTATGTTCTTTCCCAGGTTCTATGCCAATTGTAGAAACAACTTAGCTTCAAAGGCTCCGAAACAAGATTTGGATAGTAAAACCTGGATTCTAGTACCAACATCTTGAACTCAAACAGATGAAGAGAGCAATCTGCTTGAAAAATCCGGATATCAAACTCGATGGCTCAACGGGAATCCCCATCTTTCAGTCCCGAATCCATCGCCTCCCTTAACTACACGAGATACTACGCGAATGGGCCCTCGGGCCACACCATGCATGGGTCCATGTTTCCCGGACTGAAAAAGAGGGGTCATAACCTCGGGAGCCGGTCATGGATTCTGATCGACCCTAACGGGAATTCGAAAATTGTGGAGCTGGATAAATTTACCGTGATGAGACGTTGCTCGTTGCCTTCAAGAGACCTAAGGCTTCTGGACCCTTTGTTTATAAATCCCTCGACAATATTAGGTCGTGAGAAGGCAATTGTTGTGAGTCTCGAGCAGATTAGGTGTATAATAACAGCTGACGAGGTTATGTTGAAGAACTCACTGGACGGGTCCGTGCAACAGTACAAATCCGAACTGTGCAAGCGTCTTGAATCGTGTAAAGATCAGTATGGTATGTTACATTTAAAGGGGCGTTTATGTTTTGGTTCGTCATATTGTTATTTGATTCTACGGAGCAATTTTGGAATAAGATTTATGTGATAACCTAACAGGAACGAATATATAGGAAAAATTAAAAAGGTAAAATGTTGGTTTAAACTTGAGGCTTCTCTCAGTAAGGGTATCTTTTTCGTTGCATATCCATTATAATTCTCCAAATTAGAGTATTGGTGAGGTTAGACCGAAGGCTGCACTCAGTAAGAGTTTCTTTTTTCCTTGCATATCCCTTATAAATGTTCAAATTGGAGTGTTGTTGAGTTTAGATAATCCTAGGTGCTACCCTTGATTTTTATGTGCTGCTTACATTCTAATTTGAAACAATTACTATGGTTATAGAACAAGATTTTCATTATTATTTTCCAAGGTCGAAAATATAAACAAAAAGTTCTCAGTTGCACTGTATCTGGATGATGTGTATTTATTTCAGTGGCCTTGTCTTGTAATGCTAAGTTACGGTATCTTGCAAATAACAAGTCAAGCTACTTTGCAATTTCTGAATCTTCTGCTAGATACTTTGTTTCTTTTGTTTCTGCACTGCCTTGTTTTTTGGAGTAATTACATGCCGCACTCACAGTTTGTCATTTGTGATTTAGATGATCTACCTTTCGAGTTCAGGGCATTGGAGCTTGCATTGGAGCTTACATGTATGTCTCTTGATGCTCAGGTATGCCCTTCTGTCTTTTGACGTATTAATGAGGTCTCCTTCTTTTCACTCTTAATTGTTGTATCCTGCTGTCATCTTGTCTCAATAGTCCTGCCATAACTGCCAGTTTTCCTTTAATGTGGTTGATCGTAGGATCAGTTAATGAGAGCCTTGTTGTCAGATCTTGCTTAATTTCATGAATTATGCTGAACTTCACGTAATTGTTTAGGTGAAAGAATTAGAATTAGAGATACATCCTGTGCTCGATGAGTTGGCATCATCAATAAGCACTCTCAATTTAGAGCGTGTACGTAGATTCAAAGGCCACCTCCTCACATTGACTCAGCGTGTACAAAAGGTAAAATAATGAATTTTTGCTTGTCCAAAAGATGAAAACATGCATATATTACTGGGAAATGTATAATGTTACACCTGAAGTTTAGAACCTGCTGAGGATTAGGTATAAGCACTAAATAACAAAGTGGTTTCGCAAAAATTACTAAATAGTTCCTTGAGGTTCGATTTCCTATTATGTTCTCCCCTTCATAAGCAAAAAGCACTTCGAGACTCTCTTGACATTATAGAATACTAAAATTTAAATCAAAATCAAGTGTTGATGCTTGTTAGTTTTAAAAAATTAGAATCTCCTGTGCTCTATGCATTGGCATCATCAATAATATTACTCTCTTTCAGAATTGCACTCCCAGTGGGGATTTGGTAAAATAGAAACCTTAGCAGGTGTTCATAAATTTTTAAGGGGGTTTTTCGTAATTCTAAAGACAACTGGATATCTTTTCCTTTTACCTTTTTCTTTTAGTTACACCTACACCTCTAAAGGGTAATGTCTGTAGTCATTTCTTGGAGGTAATTTTTACTAGTCACTCAGTTTGTTCTTTATATTTTTCAGGTTTGTGACGAAATCGAGCATCTGATGGACGACGATGGTGACATGGCGGAGATGTACTTAACCGAGAAAAAGGAAAAACGAGACAACCTCACGAATAGTGATTCATCTGATCACGTCAATGCTTCAGAGCATATTAAGGCTCCTGTGTCTAAATCTGCACCTGTTTCGCCTGTGGGGTCGAGCAGTGGCATTCACAAGCTGCAGAGGGCCTTCAGCAGTATGAGTTCCAGTAAACATGGCAGCTTCTTAAGTTCGTCTAGCGGCCAAGAAAACATCGATCAACTCGAGATGCTACTCGAGGCCTACTTTGTCGTCATTGACAACACGCTCAACAAGTTGCTATCGGTAAGAATAAAAAAATAAAAGCATTTTACAGTATGTATGAATTTAATCACTGAAATGCCATTGAAGTTTTAGTCAGAGAAACTCAAAAGTACATTATTGATATACGTTATTTTTACAAAATGCAAGACGATGTTGTTTGCCAAGAAAATACAGAGCTGAAAGATGCATTTGTAATTTTTAGAGTGAATCTCTTTGTAAATAGGCTAAACCTTAAGGGTAGTTTCTGTAACTACTACTATATTGTCCGCAAAGCATGCTAAATGACTTTCTATAAGAATGTGCAAGGTTTTGTTCTTGACATTTTGAAGCATAGGTCCTGTCAAAATCAAATCACATCAAATGTTTATGTTTTCATATTTCAAATTTTCCCTGCCATGCAGCTGAAAGAGTATATCGAGGATACCGAGGATTTAATCAACATCAAACTGGTAATGACTTACTATTGCTAATGTTTAAATCTTCTTACATGGCAAAATGTATCGTTTTTGTAATGTAAATTTTTCTTTCTGATTCTTGTAATAGGGAAATGTTCAAAACCAGCTGATCCAGTTCGAGCTACTTCTTACTGCTGCTACATTTGTGACTACTGTGTTTGCCGTTGTGACTGCCGTTTTTGGCATGAACTTTGAGGACACAATATTCGACAAGCCGTCTACATTTAATTGGGTACTTATCATTACTGGTGTTTTTTGTGGGATCTTGTACTCTGCCTTTTTGATCTATTTCAAGCACAAAAAGGTAATTCCTTTGTAAGGTGTATAGTTTGTGCATTCCTATTTCTTGGATTGTTTTATTTGATGTTTGGTGCCTTGATATGATTGATGAAAAAATCAGTTGCATAAATAAATATATTGGCTCGATTGGATTCGAATTGGTGTTTGGAGATGGCACATTTGTTCATGTTAAGCAAGCTATACATTCTCCTTCATCCTACAACCAGTTTTCTTATCTAATTTTCGACATCTCAAATCAATTTTCAAAATTCAAACCGGAATAACCCGATTTCCTTCTCTCAACTATCTGCTCGATCAAAAGCATTTCCAGTTCATCACTGCACTCAAGATCCTCATCCGACATAAAACATGTTGATCTTTGCATATTGTCGTGTTCTTCATCCCTCTCTGTAAATGCTAGCAAATCTGCATTAGACTCCTCATATGCATCCACATAATTTGCAGACAAATTCTTTCCTGAAAACTCATTTTCTCCTTCGTCATGCTCGTCCCGTGCACAAGATGAGGATTCTGTTTCACTGTGGTAATGAAATTTGTTCTCACGAGACTCAATCCTATCTGAAAGTCTTTGAGTGTCCACAAGAGCTGTCTCTAGCTTGTTTATATGCTTTTTTAGCCTTGACTCGATCAACTCATGGAGCCGGAGCCTTAGCTCCCATGGGGAAACTGCATAGTTTGCAGTTGACGCAAGCTCTCCTTGAACGGTATCTGGTTCGAAATCCGGGCTAACCTGTATAAAACAATGAATGTTGGGAAGCATATAAGTTTCGACAAATCACAGCTCGAATTCAAAAAACCAAAACATGAAAGTTTTATTTTTTTTTTATTTATTTTTTTTTTACCTCAACCACAGAAATCCTCTCCAGTGAGGAAGCCTTCATGTTGTTCTCTAACATCTCCAATTCAGCTTCAAGTTCAGACTCGATTTTGCTCATCAACTCAAGATTCTCAGTGTATCTATCGTTTGCTTTTAGACCGTCGTTTTTTTCTGGTTTATTAACTTCTGCCCCACATGGAGATGCAATTGGCTCCTTAGTTGACAGAGGCGTATCGTGGTTTACTGCAGATAAATAATAGCCCTCGTCTGTTATGTCCTTGACCAGCAGAGTGTCTTTCATGTCGAGTTCCTCATGTAAATCTTCAACTAAATTCTGCATTTGCTTTAGCTGCTTATTCAGCTTATCGACTTCTGTTTTCCAAGCTATAGTGGCTGATAGTATACCGATAATCATTCCAGTGACGAACAGAAGCATCGTGCCGGGTCCTGATAACAAGAAAAGAAAACAAAAAAAAAAAGAGGTGAGCTAATAACGAAACAACAATTCCCACAAAACCTCAGATAAGTAAGTGCCACTCAAATGATAATAAACAAGATGAGCCAACAACTTAAAAAAGCCGAAAGTTAAGTGGCAACCTTCTTTCGATTCATCTTTTTCTGTTGGCTCGTCCCGACAGCCCTCAAGCCCCAAAATGGCCGAACTACAGCCCGGCCCGTCTACCACTTGGGTCAAATCAGTATCAAACAAAGGTTTATCAGAAGATACCGATGAATATAAACCTTCGTTTTCATCTAAGCATCTTCCTAGAGAGGTTACCGGCCCGCACGAACACAAACTGCATTTCTTACTTACAGAGAGCTTTTTTTTACTGACCCTCCTCAAGTCTCCTCTTTTACCACTACCATCAAAATTCAAACTTCCTTTGGGCTCCAATCCTGTTTTACAATCATCAAAAAGCCTTGTGCTTTCTTCTTTGTTTCTGCTTATTGTTACTCGAGAAACTTCCGGAAAATACTTGCTGGAATCATGTCGAGGTATCTTTCTCTCCGGTCTGCGTAAAGGGCACGTTTTTTCTCTCAACTGCTGCAGAAAGTTTGTCGACTCTGATTGAGTGGTGGTGTGAGAGTACATGTGAGAAGGTCCAGCAGCTGGATACTCCTTTTCGTCTGATGATAGATTTCGAATGTTTTTGGCTATGTATCCAGCTCCAGCAGCTGCTGCCACAACCCATAAATCCATTTCTTCAAAACCAAAAGATTACAATATTAAGAACATCTATACTTAGTGAAGGTTGTGCTCCAAGAACACAAAAAAAGTGAAGAAAGAAAGAAAGAAAGAAAGAAAGAAAGAAAAAGACTTCAAATTTATCAAGAAAACCAGTGAAAGGAGAATTGTTTTCTGGCCGGTAGAGTGTGTTGACTCAACTAAATTGTTTTGAGCTCAAGAATATCTGAGGTATACCCTTCATTTTTCATTTATTTGTTTCTTTTTATTTAAACTTTCAATTTCAAGTGAATAGAAATTAGCATTAAACTTTCAATTTCAAGTGAATAGAAATTAGCAAGGGCTTGTTGGGTGGCCCATGCATTCCACTGGTGTTGAGAGCCACAAAAAGTATTGAGGTTTGAATTTGAGATTGGCTTAATTAAACATAAAATAGTCACATTTTGTGTAATTGCAAATAAAACTCAGTTTTCTTATATTTGCAAATAAATACCAAACTTTTATTATGTATTGCAAATTTGTCTCAAAACTATTTTCCGACCAATATTTGCCGACGTGCCCAATTAGAAATCTTTTGTGGCACTCAACCTTTTAAAACTAAAAAAAGTCCAAAAATCCAAGAACCCTAAATTTGAACACCTTCACAATTGAAACCCTACAATGCAAAATAGAATTAAAATTTATCCATTCTCCATTGACGGAAGTCACAAAACCGCAAAGTCTCTAGTTTCTATGCTTCACAGAACACTAAAATCGCCTAAAAATCACTCGAAAATCGCCCCTCTGCCCAATTTATAAGAATCTGGGGGTGAGCTTGTAAATGTATTATTGAAGGTGAACTCAATTTTTGGGGGTGAAGAATTGCGCCATGGAGAAGAGAAGAATCGCAACATTTTTTTTTTTTTTCAATTGGAGGAGAAGAATTCGATTTTTATGAAGATTATGGAGCAAAAAAAATATGGTGATAAAATCCTATTTTTTCAATTGGTACTAAACCCTATTTTTGGTTAATTTGTTGGTATATGATGTGGCAAGAACATGATGAGGAGTTTAAAAGGTTGAGTACCACACAAACCTCATCAGTACCCCGTAAGATTTCTGATCGGACACGTCAGCAAGGATTGACCGAAAAATGGTTTGGAGACAAATTTGCAACACATAATAAAAGTTTGATATTTATTTGCAAATATAAAATGATGAATTTTATTTGCAATTACATAAAAAGTGGACATTTTATGAGCAATTACCCCTTTGACATTTCCATTTAGTTATGAATCTTAAATTTCTCTCTCTCTTCGAATGAAACAAGAGATCAGTTTGTTCAATACTCAATTTTGTCTTACATATTTGTATTATCCTTATTCTTTTAAATACTGTTACGAAACTATATAAAGAATGAAAGCTTTTAAATTAGACGATCTACTTTTCATATGAAAAATTCATACTATTTATCATAGTCTTACTTTTCTGAAAAAAATATTTACTAAAATAGAATAATATCAAAGTCTGCTGTTATTAACACTTGCTGCAGTATATGATCGTGCAGCATTTTTTTCTAACAGCTTCCTTTATTAGAACTCTGATAAGAATCAGTATTATGCAAATGTAAATTACAGAAGTCCTTATGCATATGATCACGTATACGAGCCAGTCAAGTAGCAAGGGTCGTGCTCGGGCAGCTATCCACAGCACAAGCTAAAATATCCCTGTAATCCCTTGTTATCCTGAAAGAATCATAAACCTTTCCATCTCGGCTCCTTTTGTACTCGAACAAAAGATTCGAATGATCGAATGCAGTTAGTTTCACAAAACCATAATCGGAATCTCTGAAGATACTCCAGTTGGGCTTTAGAGTCGAGAATTTGGAGAGGCTAGCACCTCCTCCTCCGGCAACTACGTGTATTGTCCCATTCAAGCTGCCTTTGTAAGAGTTCTTCTCTTCCCTTGTACATTTATTCTGCAGCAAGAATTCCATATTTCTTTTTGGATAAAATGTTTTTTTTATTCAAATTTAAAACAATAAATTGTCACATAATTCATATGAAGCTGCTCGTGAAATAATTATTTGGTTGGCAGAAGTCACATTATCGGCTGTTCACGTGTAAAAAACAAGAACTATTTGTTTCTTTTTAGAACTTTTTCTTCTGTACAAAAGGACTTGGTCTCTCACTTTATACAAATAATAATTTACAGATATGCAAGAACTACCTCTAGCTGTCTTAACGAGTCATATTTTCTTTCGAAACCGAAAAACCACGTGTTTAATGTGCAACCGTAAAAAGGTTTAGTTTTATTTGCAATTTCATACAAGGTGGTAATTTCATACAAGGTGGTAATTTTATACGCAAATACAATAACATAATGATCTTTGAAAGTTATGCACATTCAAGTATATACTTTTTTTCATTTCCTTTTCACAGATTCTTCCACAAACACATTCAGAGGCATCCACAGAACTGACGAAACGGAAGGGAGAAATAAGAGACATATCTAATTTATACTAAAAACATAATATACGCTTACCTGATATACAGGACAAGTTCTCTCATAGCTGTGAACGTGCCCAAAAAATGCAATATCGACTTTATACTTCTGCCAGAGCTTCTGAAGGTTATCCCTCCCCATTGGTTCTGCGAACGATCCTTCGTTTGCGTAAGTTTCATCAGACGAGTAACCTAGTACACGATGTGCCATGAAAATAAGCCAGGGCTGTTTTTGTCTGTCAACAGACGCCAAACAATGCTCGATGAACTTATACTGTTTGGATCCTTCTCGCCAGTCATGCTCTGTGTCAGCTATGCAAAATCGGAACATGCCGTAATCAGTGGAGTACCTGTCATGGTTGGATGGAGAATAATAAGCACCCTTTACTACTGTTATTACATAAGGAGTTTTTATTACATGTAAATTGTAAGGTGAACAAAAATAAATGGGTTATTTGTAAAGAGGCTAAACCAGGGTGATTTTTTTTGTAAATTCACTTATAATAACAATACTGTATTACTGTTCATACTGTAACTGTATGAATAAATTTGAAGATCCTGAAAGATGGAGAAGAAGAATGTGTGTAAACTGAAAAAGGACTCTTTTCATCGGGCTGTTAAATGCACATCATAATTACTTTCAGGACTAAGCATGCCAAACGAGACCAAAAAAAAAAGAAACAGTAAAATGATACCAGAAATTAGCTCGATTTTCAGCTGGAACATAAAACATTGTCTCGGCTGGGACACCACATTCTCCCCCTGAATCATTGTTCTCATAAAATGAACCTGACCCGGGCCAGTCACGTTCATGGTTTCCACTGTGAAAACATAGCTAACAATATCACACAATGCAAAATCAAGAAAAATAGAAAAATGAATAAAACTCGCAACTGAACTCCTGTAAGAAAAATTAAAGTGAACCTGGCAATCATGTATGGCACTTTTGAAGAAATTGGCTCGACTTGAGAAGTGAATTGATCCCATTGTGAAAGATACCCATTAGCATAACAGATATCTCCGATATGAAAGACTATATCATAATTATTCAAGTCACGGATGAGCTGCTTGGTAGTGTTAAGGGACCCCCGTTCAAAATTATTATACTCGTTTGAACCATCGGCTTCATCCTGCAATAGAGTGGAAACAGAAATATTTCGTTCTTAATTATACAATGTCTATGATTGAGATTTGAGGTCTGTAAACAAGCTCTCAAATAATGTTAAAGGAACAACAACACAATCTTTTGAAGCATGTTGAAATTTCACAATAGAATAATTATAAATAAATAAATGAAGTAACAATAACAACAAACTAAGGGCTTGATTGTTTATAAAATAATTTGTTCAAAATGAGTTATTTTGGTTAACCATAGTTAATTTTGAAAATGTAGTATGGTTAGTTGATAGTGGAATTTTAAGGATGTAATCATGTATTAAAATAATATTTAAAATAAAATGATTAAAATTGATTTGATGTAAAAGTAAGAGATAAATGATTGGAAATGATAGGTAGTTAAAAATATGTGAGTAGATGAATAGTGAATTAAAGTTGATGTGATGTGTAAAAATGATTGGTTTGTATTATTTAATTATACGAATAATATTAAAGATAGTGGGGTTGAGTTAAAGTTGAGTTAAATTTTAAGTTGAAATAAAAGTGAGTATAATCCATAAACAAGCAAGCCCAGCATTTCATCACAATATGACGGTAAACTATTAATCATATCACATCATCGTTTTGATAAACTATGGGTTTTGGATTTTGTCAAAACCGATAGTTTCGACAAAAAAAAAAAAA